GGCGTAGAAAAGGCACAAATAGAAATACATTAAAAAAACTGACCTCTCACCTGTTTGGTCTAAAGAAAAGGTAATGAAAAAGCAACTTGTACCATATGACAAGGCTGCTTAAGAAAGAGCAAATGAGGAATAAATGAGGATTTTTCTTTACTTTCCTACATTAAAGAAAATACATCTGGTCTAAAAAAACCACTCTGAGTTCAGGAAGCCCTCAGCTCTGTAGTCAAAGCCCATGGTTTGGTGCTGTCCACCATTCTGTCCTCACAGGTTCCACTGCTTCCAGAAAGCTCCAGAGGCACAGCCCTGTCCCACCTGCCCTGGGGGGACAGGGGGAGCTCCTCACCTGTCCCTGGGCACCCAAAGGTGTCTGTTCCTGCTGCTGGTTCACCCTCCTGGTGACACAGGGCAGTGGCCACACCTGTCCCACCCCATCCATCCTGGTTTATCTGGATGGCAAAGCCCCCCTGTGCCAGTGCAGTGTGTGGGCTCTGCACACCCTGCGAGCAGCAAAGACTGCACACCCGGGGATCAAATGCTTCAGACATTTACTATTTACACTGCCTTGGGTTAATACAAAGTGGCTTTCACAACACCAGGACCACTTTTCTAGATTTTCTAAATCACTAATTACGCAACCTTTCCAACCCAACTTGTTCACTTGCTCCTTAAAGGACAGCCATTATTTTAAACTGCTCTCAAGGCAGGATTTATCACACAGTGTGTGCAGCCTGTAAGGCAAGGAGTTTATGCTCAGGATACTGTGTGCAATTCAGAAATATCCAACTGGATTATAATCATCCCTGTTCAAGCAACTCAGTCCCCTCAGAGCACCCAGACTTCTCAAGACGGGGGGTTTATGCTCCATTTGTGTAACTCCTCTCCAATCACACAACTCTCAATGACACAAAGAAAGTGCTCTTTATTTTTCCCTGTGTGCAATGTTTGTACAATGCTCATAGACTTGGTACAAGAAAGACCATTAGTTTCTATATAAAGACTGCCATAAAAGTTTTACAGTTTATCTATAAATGTATAAAGATTGTTGGTTTCGTTATAAACTCTGTTTCAGTGCCAGTGGAAAGAAAAATTACCAGCAGAATAGAAGTAGCAATCTGCATAAGTACCAGCTTGCAAGCACACATACCTCAGTCATTCCTGGAGTAATTAACTGAGCATACAATAGTTCATCAAATTATAGACAAGCCATCATACCACTGAGAGCAGCTCACAAACGGGAACCATCACCACAGCACTTCTGATTTCCTTTCCAGATGAGCTATAAAGACTAAAACAGTCAGGGACCAAATGATGCACCACTCAAAAAAACAAAAAACAAAAACTGAAAAATATACTGCCTTTGACAAGATTGTGCAATTCCTCCTACAGCTCTCGCTGATTGCTTTACTGTCTTCTATTTTTATATATTTACACAACAACTATTTGCTGTGACATTGTTTCTGACAGAAGTTTGTATCTTTGCTGCAAACTTCCCTGTACTTAAATTAACTGGCCCAGGAGAGCTGGTTATCTTGGCATTAATCTTCCAAACAGTGGACAGCCAAAATACACATGGTGATAAGGGTAAAGCAGCCTGGCCGTGGTTTGGTGTTTGCAATATTCCAGTAGTACAGGATCTCACCTAAAAAAACTGACTTCATTAATAAAGTTTTGTCAGGAACCCAAACCAGAAAATACAGAAGTATTTCTCTATTTTTTAAAAGGATACTTCTCCCTACAGTGACTGCATTTTATAAAGAAAAACTCAGTTCTCATCTGGTTTAAATTTGGATGTCATGCTAAAAAGCCAGCTCTGAAAAACTGTTGCTTATAATACCAACAATTACTGATTTCATGCTAGGTACAACCACAAACACATAAATACACATTTTGTTCTTGAAAGCCATTATAAAACAGCCCAAGAAGTTAAAACACTCTTATTTTAAAAATGTATCTCAAGATTACTCCAGCCCCCTCCTGCCAGTCAAAGGAGCCCCGTTTTACCCATTTCAAGTGGCCTGGAGCAATCATTAGCATTTTCTCCCCTTAGTAAGGCTCCTCAGTTACCTTGTCTATGACATTTTCCATAAAATATTCCCTTATACAGTTATTTAACAGATTTAAACCGTAGATGTCATTGTGGTCTGAACGTGTCAAAGACAACTTGAGGGAAAAAAATCAGGACACGCAGAATTCACTTTGTCAGTAATTACAATCAAAATTCCTGCAATGTGGCTGGCCTGCTCATTACTTCCTGACTTTGTATCAAACCCCTTATTTACATTTCAGATTACATTTTTCATGAAACAGTAAGATCTATCAGAGCTGAGAGGACTGAAATAATGAGGGAGAAATATTTTAATAAAACGTGTTGGGTCTGCATTACTTCCGTGTCAGAAAGAAAGGTTTCTTCTGTAGCCATGGATCATTTATTCTGTCTCTAAATGAGAAGCAAAAGATGAAACTGATGAACTTTTACTGCCCATTTGTCTTTAGCAGACAATTAAGACAGAAGATCAAAATGGATTATCATACCACGCAGACAACTGGCCCAACAGTAATACATCTCCGGGACCACAGATTTGTAACTCTCTTTTATCCCTCCCCTTTCTTCTTACTCCTTTTTCCTCTCTAAAGGCAATGCTGGCTTTGTGGCTCAAGGGGAGCCAAAAGGCTGGTCATCATTATTCAGTCACAGATGTCAATCTAACCTCCCTTTTTTCTCAGTTTCTAAAGCAGTGAGGCACAATAATTTGTGACAGATTCTTTTACTGTAAGGTACAAAGAACACACAGAATAAAACATCTAGCAGCAGCGAGGGTCTCTGATCAGATGTGCTGGTACATGGGAAATACAGTGTATGTAAAAACAAGCACTGAGAGTTTAGATGAATAAAAAAAAACTTGAGGTGTTTTTCCTTTTTTTTTTTTCCTCTTACTAATAAGTGCTTTACCTTGTGTTGATTTAACTCAAATATTCCTTCTGGATTAAATCATAAATGTTTGATTGCTAGAAACAACTTTTGCCTGCACTACCATGCAGATCACCTCTCTCCCTTGCATACAGAAACACATGGAGAAATCAAGGGGTTTGTACTGTGCATCTTGGGCTGCAGTGACTTGGCACTCTGACAATATTTTTCTTCCAAAAAAACAATAAACCAGAAGCTTTAAGAAATAAACCTAACTGGCCTGATTTGCAACCTATATATTTCTCAGAGCTCTAAATTCATCAGTAAAAACATGGATGAAGCTCTTCCTCTCTGGTTTACTTAAATGTTCACAGGTGATTTTTCAAATCCAGATCTGTCAGCTCTGGACATGTTCTCCTCTTTCAGAATGTCCAGTTACCAGGACCAGAAAATACTCCTGTGCGTCAACAGGAAAAACGTTTCTGAAATCTACTCGAGGCTGAGAAGTTCAGCCTCCTCTCTTTTGCTTCCCCTTTAAATTTGCATGTGCAAAATACGTGACAATGTAAGAACCCACCCCCAGAGCCACACAAACACAGCTCTGTGTGTTTTGGGGGGTCTGACATCAGCCATCGGAAACTCGGACTGGGACTGGGTGAACATCTTAAGAATTTTTATGAGCCTGTGGCTCCTCTGAGTTTGATTCAGTCTTGCATATTCATAGCAATATTATACAAGTCTAATCATTTGCAGCAGAAGAAAGGGGGCCGTTAAGAATTTATGAAGTCAATTGTATTACCAGGCTCTCCTGTAACACCTTGGTCATGGACACCAGTGACCGTCCCAGCTCTGAAGGACCATCAGCTCACACCCAACTGACTGATCACTACACAGGGTGCTGGAAAGAAGTCAGTCCTCAGGTAAACACAAACACAGGCACGTTTATTAACAAATCACAGACCTACAGTGGCAATGGGGCTGCAGTTCTCCACAAGGGTTAGTTCCATGCTGTACCCAAGTGCACAGGAAGTCCTAACAATGAACTACAGTGAAAAGCAGTTCAATAGCTGCTTTGAAAAAATATTACTGCTACAGCTACAAACCCACCCAGAAGGCCTGGTCAAGGTCCCCCTGCACAGAGTGATTACAGCCCAACATGAAAACGTTTGTCCTGGCCCTGTGAGCCAGCACAGCTCACAATTTGTGAAATGCTTCGGTCTAAATGACACACCATTTCATGTGGCATGAATACATAACTAGAGGGAAAGGACCTGAGACAAAACAGCTGTGCTGACCCTAACCTGTTATCACCCAATAGCAGGGACTCGTTGAGGCAGAAGTTATTGTTATATTAAACAGTTATACAATGCCATAAGTTCAGCACTTCCCAGGAATTGAGGTGCAGGAGCTCAGCTGGCACTGACACCCCAGTGCTGACCACCAGCACCCACAGGAACTCCAGTGGCCTTAAGACACCCCAGGAATAATCCCCCTCCCCAAGCTCCGACCCCAGCCCAGTCCATCCTGAGGAGACACGGGAGAGCACAGGAAAACACAACGTAACCTGAAGTTCTCATTTCCGAGTCAGCCACAGACCCGGTGAAAAATCCCTAACCCAACCTGTGTTCCAGCTAAATGATGAACCCCCGTGTGTCCCACCCACACATCTGGGGTCACACCATCCCTCTGAGCGGAGCAGAGGCTGCCTGAGCAGGCAGGAATTCCAAAAATGCGCTGGAGTGCCAGGTGCCCAGTTAAACACAGCCATAAACCCTCACACAATGCCGAGAGCTCTGCCAAATGAACTGCGGCTCTGGCACCCAAAGGCAAAAAGGGAAATTTATTAATCAATTTTCCTGCCCGCTCTCATGTTCCCTCGTAAACTCGGGGCTGTAAACCAACCTTCCGAGAGCCCAATTCTTCCGTCTGCTGCCTTCAGTGTAAAAATGTTTGTATCCTTCTGCTCCTAATTACAGCTTCTTTTTCTTTCTAAGAATGCATTTATCTCTTTCAGTAAAAAGAGCAGCAATAATATGTTGAACAACCCTGAAATAAATTTTGTCATGTAAAAAATTAATTACGCATTCCAAACCTGGTCACTGTAGCCCTCTGGGAATTGCCTCCGCACCTCAGGATCTGTAAATAATTGACAGATAATATTAATTGGCTTTGGATTAGTGAGCAAGCAGAGAATCACACATTAATATTTGATCAGAAGATGATAGCAACCCTGGCAGGGGATCCAAGGAGGGCAGCTGAGGCTGCTGTGTTGATAAGAGCAGGGAAGGACTTTTCAAGGCTCTCCCTTTACCCTCCTCCAGAAAAACAAAAACTGTGCATAAAACACACACAAAACACGTGAAATCAAAAATGTCTGTGTGTACATACACACATATATATGTAAATATATATATTTATCTCTATATTATTTTATAAGGGGAGCCCTGGTGCTGGACTGAACTCCAGCCTGTCACCTTGTGCAATATCTTCCTGGCTGTGATTTGCCAGCTGGGCTTGTCACCAGGAAATGGTTACCCAGGGCACTGAATTTGAGTTAAAATCACACCAGTTCTGCCAGCTCCAGACACTGCACTGGTTTATCTCCACAGACAGTTTTCAGTGATACCAGATTACAAATCTCTCAGAATTACTTCATGTTAAGGTGTGCTCCCCAGAAGACAAAAATATTTATCCAGAATTCGAAAGAGGCAATTAAGGCAGCCCTGGAACCTCTCCATCAGGAAAACAAGTGTGAAACACTTCAGATTAGCAAGCATTGCAGACTGATGCAACGTCCTTATTCCTCTGGCTGTCAGAATAAATAATATGGTAGTATTCCCTGAGAAGTTATCTTAAATTTAATTAGAGATGTTCATAAAACAACAGAATATCATGATTGAAATTATTTATATGACAACCTATTTAAAACAGACCTCTTCAAAGCCACGCATTTTTCAAAGGGATACAGCGGAGAAGGCCACATTCCATTCCACAATTATTCCTTTTTTAATTACCAAAACCAAACCAAACTCTCAGGCAAGAGTTCAAGACAGAGTGTAAAGCACTGGAACACCCAAGGGTATCCCCAGAGCCCCTGCCCGGGGTGTGGGACACTCTGCCCAGCCCTGCCCGTGGCAGTGACACTGTGACACAGCCCCAGAGGGGCTGCACGAGGCCACCCCCCGGCTCAGCTGTGGCTGTGGCACCATCCCCTGGGGTCCTGGGTTCTCAGGGCAGGTCACCGAGGGATCCGTTCGGCCATCGCTGGTCCCACTGCCACAGCTGCCAACTCCTTGTGAGGTGTGTTCCTTCTGCAGGACAAATCCAACAGCCTGGACCTTTACAAACCTCCCAGCTGAACGTTTTGCAGAGAATCAGGTGCTGAGTGTTACCATTTCACCAGGGCACACAGACAGTCACATGTACAGTGCATCACACTTTACATACACGCGTGAGCAAACCCTTCTACACAAACAGCAAAGCAGAAACAAAGCAAGGGATCACCTTTTAAAGCCTTAGTTTGAAAATTCTTCAGTCTCTACACAGGTGAGTGAAGTGTCCAAACACACAGACAGATGTGCCCAGCTGTTCTGCCATGAGTACCCTCCACACACAGTTAGCAATGAAGGGACAGTCCAGTTTCACACCTCAGCACAGCAAGTGAGGAGCAGTGGAGAGAGTAAATTATGCAAGTATTAAGTTGCATATTTTAAAATAATTTTCAAACTAATTATTTAAGGGTAAGATTTCAGGATTTCACAGGAAAAAAGACCAAACAACGACTCAATCAAAGAAATAAATCTGTATTGCTGAAGAAACCCGTAATGGTGTCTGGAATGTGATACCAACGTTCCCCCCCTTCTACTGATCCATTGCTCTCAAATTTAATATAAATATATATATACATGTACTGACACATATTTTATCATTTACCACTGTTTTAGAGAAATGAGGAACCAAATTTGACACAAATGCACAGTGTGTTTGCTCTAAACACATTCCTCCATAGATGGCAGGCCGCATTGTCATTCTTGAAGGATCCAACAAAACAGATTAGTCACACAAAGTAACTGTGTGTGTGTGTAAACATGTATTTTTCCTGTTTTCTCAGCATCTTGAAGGTTCTTCTGTGTTCCAGGAGCTCCTTGGCACAAGGCACAAGGACAGGCTGCAGGACTCTGCTTGACCACATTTCTGGGAGCCCTGAAAGCCCCTTCCCAGATGACCCATCAGAGATGAGGGTCTGTGCAGCTTTGTGGGGCTCCAGGATTCACGTGTGAGCACAGCAGGTACAGGGCACCCTGGGCAAACACATCCCTGCCAGTGCCTTTACTGTCTCACAGCCACGGGGGGCACTGCCCTGGGTGTCACAGGCCCCTGTGACACAGGGACATGGGTTGTGTCCAGCCTCAGGGTGGCCGACCCAGCCAGACCTGAACCCTGCAGGGAAGGGCCCCACCTTTGGGATGTGCCTGGCAGCCTCCCAGCCTCATGTTTGCACAAGTACTTTCTATTTAACACTGTGGCAGCTCCATCACTTTGGCTTTTAAATGGTCTGGGAATATTGACTAAACTTGCAGCATCTTTATTTGGAAAACACTACACAAGGGGAAAAGAAACTTCATCACATCTTACTATGGCTTTCATCCCCCATTCTTTGCTGGTAACTCAGTGTGCATGAGAAAGGTGTTCTCAACTGCACTGACCTACACATAGACACACAGTAAAACTACATTTCAATTCTATGTGGGCATGACATGAAGTTCCAGGATGCTGGAGCACCCTCACTACACCAAGAGGATTGACAGAAACCCATACATTGAAATAGTGGCCCTCAAGACACCTGACTTTATGGAATATAAAGATCTACAAACCAAACATTGCTATTACTCAGTATGGCCAGGCTCTGCCCTGAAAGGACAAGCACAGGGCACCCAATAATCCCAACAGACATGATATCTGAATCATTCTGAACAGGAGAAAATGGTCAGACCATCAGGGATACAGGTGGGTAGCCCAGCCAAGCACTCAGGATTCAGCTTTAATCAGCACCATTAGGATCAGGAAAAACTGCTTCAGCACCGTGTGAAAATACTTGGGAAAGACAGAACAGAACTGTCAACTCTGCCTGTAAAACTAAAGTAACTTGAGAACTTCAAACACTTTAACTGCAGTAATTTGTTTTGCACAGCACATGCAAACAGTGAGATGCAGCTCCATTGTAGCTCCAGACAGCAAGAAAACCCTTTGCAACTCAAAACACAGGGAACGCTGTTATTCCAGGTACTTAACAGGCTTTCGAGTGAAATGATGCAAAGTAAACACATGTAAAATACTTTTTTCAAGTTCAGAAGAGTGGAATCTATTTGCTGACACCAGAACAAGGGAAGAGCCAGACTGAAATGCTGCCCAGCCTCTTGCCCCACGACAGCAAAGCTCTGAGCAGTCACTGATAAGGTTACAGAGCTCTGAAAGCTCAGCTGAGGGCAGGAGACCCTGCAAACCACAGCCAAACACAGTGCAAGTGAACCTCAGACAGGAAAAATCACAGGAATTATGGAGCTGCTTCTCAAACTAAACTTCTCCCAAACCCCAAAACAAGAACTCAGGTTGTGCCACAGGTTGAACCTGTGGCATGGTAACCTAGTATCTCCTGTTTATCTTTCATTACACCTGATTTGGTAGTTCCAGTTCACAAAGACGACAAGATCCACACTGTTTGTGCCTAAAGCAACTGCTGACAAACAGCCATCTATTAATATTAATCACATGGTGAAATACAGCACTGGAAGTTGTAAGTTACAAGTGTAAAGCAGTAAGAATACAAACAATGACACTCCAAAATAAAGCTAAAATACACCACCCCACCTGGAATCTCCCATTCTTACATGGGCGTAAGTGCAGTGAAATACATCTGTCACAAACTTAAACTGGTACCAAGACAAACGTTGATTTTATTCCTATTGCTTACACTCAGGTTTAGAAAGGATTTTAAACCAATGGCATGTCACACAAATGTCCTGAGATTCACTTCCCAACCTGACACACATCACTGGAAGCCTCTTCCCAGAGGATACAGCTCCACACAAAGCAGCTGCTGCCGTGAGATCTCAGCTGGCCACAGAGCTGGAGCTGCCCCAGCCCTTGTTCCTCAGCACAGACACCCTGGGAGAGCTGTTTGGAAAACCACCTATGGAACGGATTCCGTGGCTGTTCCTGCAGCACTTTCCTTTGCAATGATTTCAAGGGGAGATTCCCAGGGAAGCGACGGAATCACTTCTCACACGACCAACGGGCGACTGAGTGTGGGGTTATTCCGGAAGGGACAGCAGAGCAAGGCTTTGCTGCACCATTTCAGCAGCATCTGAGTCCTGGCCGGGCATTTATAGGTTCTCTCCAAATGGGGAGCACAAAGCCCTGATCCCACAGGGGTGAGCACAGTTCTCACTGCCAACACACTCAGCGTTTCCCTCCAGGAGCAGAGATTCCACACCACTCTGGGTGCATTGTGCAGAGCACTGTATTGATTGCTCAACCACATTCAGGCTATTATTGTCAGTATTTCATTAAAAACGTGAATGTTTCCAAGTTCTAAAGCTATTGCTGCCTCTCCCTGCACAATCTTGCCCAACAAAAAGCCAAATCCAGCCGAATATTGAAATTAGCTGTGAACTGTATAATCCCATTGTTCAATTTCATGGCATTTAAGACACTACCTTCCCCTCCTCACAAGTCTGGATGTTAATCCATGCTGGAACCTGATTTAATTTTCCAGATGACAGGATGGGAACATGCTACAATGGCATATTAGTGTAACTATGCTGCTCTTTTACTCTCAACTTTTCTGACATCATAAAGTGAGTTTTGCCTTTAAAAGAGGCATGCTTGGTTACTTCTAAAAATAGCCCAACTCGAACTGGTCTGTTATTTGAATTGTATGGAAATTATAAAACCAGGACAGTTTTCAAGAAATTACCAGAAAATACTTCCCAGAGTTAACAATGCAAACCCAACACAAACTGACCTGCTCCTTTTGATAAAAGTCAGCCAACTTAATCCGTACTGGCTACACATCATTCAGATATACCAATCCCAAACTGAAAAATAGAGTGAAAATCACCTCATTTTTCCTCCCT